CTGTGTGTACGACGTAAACTCGAAGAATTTTTTGGAAGGTCTGCACTCTGTAAGGGATGCTACCAGAGTGCTGCCCAAGAAGGAGCTTCTGGTTTAAAGACTGTCCCAGTCTGAGACCCCTTTACTGCAAAAAGGGTTGTTACTGGAAGAAAAATTCTGTGGTGACTGCGAACACCACTAACCTGCCCAGAGAAACTGATGCACCTGGGAGGTATGAAACTAAAGCTCCTCATAGTGGAGGAAGGCCTTAACAGAAGCAAAAGGAGGAAAGAAAATGCAGAGCGTACGTGCTTCGGCAGCTGACAGTACCAGTTCATCCCTCCAACCTTACCAGCAACCAGAAACCAAAATCAATTATTCCCACTCAGAAGAGGTCACTAATCTGAAAAGTTGGGTAAAGAGAAAAGCCTTCTGGTGGGCTTCAAAACAATCCTCTGGGAACGTCAACCATGAAAGTCTCAGCCCCTTCAAGAAGAATAAGAAGAAGCCCAACGTCTGCTGCCCGGGTACACCGTGTACTGAAGACCAGTTAAGGACGAAGAGCTTAATGAAAAAGAAGTTCCAGGAGGCCATTGATCGTGAGGCCGAAGAATTCCCCCAAGAAGAATAGACTATCATCCGCTTGTGATAGGTTTTGAAAAGAAGGATTACCGACAACAAAGCCCTCCACCGGTGAGCATTGGGGCTGACACTGAACCATATACTTGCGGGGATCCGTCGCGAAAGGTCCCGGTGGAAGGGCAAAACAAGTTGGAGGCCGAAAGGGCCTCGAAGAGAAAATATCTTGGAAGAAATGATAGTTCGGGTGTGACATCGAGAGCTGTCTCCGGAGATCCGCCCCCCCACTAACAGAACTCGTCCCAGAAATGGGTCCAAAAGAAAGGTCCATTAAGAACGACAAATTATGATGGACGGTCGACATCCTGGAGAGTCTCCAGGAGATCCCGTCATTTCCTACTTCAACCAGAAGAAGAGCTTCATTTCGATCGCAGTCCCGCGGATCGAAAAGTACTTAATTCCAAGCCAAGGCTAAATCGAGTGCGACGCCGCTAGAAATCAGGTACGAAGACAGAAGAAGGATGATTGACGATGAGATACTATGGGAGTCGAAGTGGCTTCGTATGGTCAGCCACGGTTCAAATGCTGAAAGAGGAAGAAGAATTGATGGTGATGGAAGAAGACAACAATCACAGCCCCGTACACTACTTATCGTTGGCGCCCATAGGGCCGAATCCAATTGCCAGCCGAAGTGCTCGCTCCTCAGAAGAAGGAATGAGGAAGAAGAACGAGGGTCAGAGAAAACCCCTTCGCTGGCGAGATATCCACACCTCGGCTGAAATGAGAAATCAAATAGGCCGAACATGCCCGAAAAGAAAAGAAGAGCAAATCTCTCAGTTAAATGATAAAAATGACTGACGATGATGACTCAAATGACGGGCCATTTGATGGAAAATATGCAGAAGACCACTTCTTGGGCCTGCACCGATTCAGGCCCGTCAACCAAAAGCCCGCCAATCTCCCAAAGCACCCTCAAGCTCCTCAACGGCCTTCAGGAGTGGGAAAGGTGTACCTGAAGGTTGACGATAAGAATGATGATCCTACCCCCGCCAGTACCCACAAAAGTTGGCCAAGTGTCTTGGAGCCTGTAACTGCATCCAGTTGGAAGGCGTTAATCAGTGAAAAGATCGAAGGCCATATTAGCTGCCGAAAAGCGTAGAAGTTGGTAGGAAAAGGTCCCCGTACCCAGCAGACTACGATTCCAGGTTGCTATATCCCAAAGGATATTCGTGTAACGAAGTTTAATATCTTCCGATGCAATAAAAATCCCAGACAAACACCTTCGGCGCAGTTCAAAGCAACGCCGGTGGAAATACAGAGGCAATGATGCTCTGTTATTCAGGCAATTCGTGAGCAAGCTAGTGGAAAACGCTTTCGAATGGCTGATGCCCGAGCTGCCCAAATGATTCTCTGGAAGACCTTTGCTAGAACCTGGAGGCCTGTGCTTTGAAAAGATCGCCAGTGCAAAGAAGAAGGACTCACCTTGCTGATCTCGCCTCTCGATAAAAAGAAGAAAGACGAATCAGTGACGAGGTATATAACACGGCTGCGCAACTCAGCGTTGAAGTGCGAGCAGCAGCTGAAGAAGAGCATGCAGTTCAACTCACTGATGGGAAACATGACGACAAATATGCCAACCTTCTTATGCCATGGCTTCAATCACTACCTTCCAGGATTTGTTGGACAGGGTGGCAAAATTTGAGAAGTGAAACTTACAAAGTCTGAAAGCTTCCCTTGAATAAATCCAAATAAGGCTAAACTCCTGAAGCCAGAAAGAATGAGGTCTACTCTGCATTCGCCTCCCAGAACCTGATAAAGGTAAACGGGTAGTGCATACGTGACAAAGGAAAGCAGCCTTATGCAGTAGAAGAAAAATCAAAACAAGCTTACAAATCAAACATCCTCAACCAAAGTGGTGATGAGGACATCGTCGTGTAGAACATACTCTCTTCGACGCGGAGATCGATGGTTACGAGCATGAGTTGTATTTTCATTATGTTTATGTAGTAGTTTATTTTTATTTTTTTTTTCCGTTTTTTGCTCTTATGGGATTGGTCGCTATTGTAGCCCCAAGGGCATTTAGTCTTTGCCCTTTTTATTTTCATTGTTGAGGCTCCTATTTTAGGTTGGCTTTCTCATCCTTGTATAGTTAGTTTTTGATGAATGAAAATTTATTACTTTTGTTCCTCTTTGTGAGTGCAACCTCCACGATCTCTATAGTGAGT